TATGGATTGGAGCGTACGAGAAACTCGCTTAACGAGGAGGTGGTGAGTCGTCTTGAGGCTGACATGTGATGGGGTGCATTAAATGCACAAGTCCGATAAAAAAAGATGTTGTCCCCAATTTCTCTTGGAGATGACGGACGAAAGGCATGCACAAGCATACATGTGCATAAAGCTAATGCAACTTGTACAATCAGTTCTATCACCTTGTAATCTTAGAAATTTTATACCCAAACACACCAAAATCAAATTCATCTCGGAAAATCATCTTCATAACTCCATTTCATCTAGAAAATACATGCATATAAGCATTGTATCACAACTCAAATGACTTGTACATTCCGAAATAACTATCCAAACACTTCTAAAAATCATATCATCCGAACTCATAACCTCTATTCAATATTTTATCCCACAACCATATTTTTGTCTCATTCTAAACACCTTTTTGCATGGGATAACAAGATCAAGCACCACCTTTTTAAAAGGAACTTCATCTTCTTCAAAAAAAAAATATTTTTCTCCATAATATAGATTTAACAACAGCAAAATGTAATGAACATTAGTAGCAAAATATTTATTTTTCTAGCAACATCACCAACAAAACAGTAAATAACTCACAGAAGATTTTTCAGTTGCTAAGGCTGAGAAATGCTTCATAAATGACGAAAATCTTCAAGATAATCAACCAATCGGGATTGTTCCCTTGAACTAATCATGAGATCTTCAAGGTCTCGCTCTGATACCAATTGTAGGTTCTCATTTTACTGATTGGATTGGTGCGGAATATTATTACCAAGAAGATAATTGTATGAACATGAAGAACATAATATGTGAGTAAACTGATAATGAATAGATAGAGATAATAAAACATGATACATGAAGAACACTCACATGGCTAAGGAGAATCCCCAACCAAACACTCTCTAATCTAAAGTCTACATGGTGCACTCATACATAAAAGACCACTCACCTCCACTTTATATACTAGTGGAGGGAATGTGTTTTACATACAAGGGAATATTCTAACCTAAATAAATCACTCATCATTGTAGAGCAATTTCATGCTCCAACATCGTCGGCTGCCAAAGGGAGGTTCACGGAGGCTGTCTCGGTGGTTTAAGGAGGCTGTAATGGGATGTGGATTTCAGTGGTGGAGAAGATTAAGGTCGGCTGTGATGGTGGTGTGTATGATGGCAAAAATGATGGCAGGTGGGTATAAGGTGAAGGTAGTTTATGAAGTGTGTTTGTTTAATCTACCACCAACGACCAGACCACTCTGTTTTAATTTCAGGTGTGTTTATGCAATTGTGAGTAGGATATGCAGGACTTAAACAGCAAAACATCAGGTGTGTTTGTTTAATCCACCACCAACCACCACTCTCTACCGTTTATCAAGATCGATATCTCCTTTTCATCTCCAAACCATACTTGTAGTATTTTATACTATTTTTTTTATCAATTCTCTTTTATTTCTTGGTCTTTTTGTTGTGTTTATAGCTAAAATCAATCGGTGCAAAGTAACACATTGACCATTTTTGTTGTCAACATAGGATTGAAAACCTATGCTATGGATACCGTGGATGACGGCAGATGGTGCTCTAAACTGAGACAAGCAAAGTCTTTTCAAGATAATCACCCAGTTTTATTGCATTTTATAAGCTCTTGGATTTTTTTGAACCGCTGAGTAAGCTCTTGATTTTATATTTATTTAATTTTCATAAAAGTATTTTTTTTTGCTTCAGCTTCTAAAAATGATACAAGATTTATCTCTTATTATCTTTTACCATGGGCCTTATCTTTTGACTATGGGCCTTTTCTTGTTGTTAAAAATAATCATGAGTTTTTTCATAAAGATCCTAGATAATGTTTGTTAATTTTAGTTTTCATCATTTTGGTGCTTGTATGTCTTAATTTTGTAAGTTTTAAACGTCTAATGTGATCATTGAATTTATGGATGAACTCATGAGGATATGGACTTTGTGTGTCATGTTGACTATCTCTACATCAGTTTTATGATTTTCATGTTTTATTTGCAGGACTGATATAAACTGACACAACTTAAAAAATTCAAGACCGAAGCTGACTAAAAAGTCATGACTTTGTACTCCGTATTATGTTTTCCATCTTTCTTATCAAATACACATTCTCTTCATCTTTCTTAACTTGAGTTATGATCGATTTTAGCCAAAACAAATCCAAACAGAGAAACGGATGATAAGAAATGTCCATGCTATAAAACTATACTCGATTTGTTGTGTTTCTTTCAATTTTTGCATTTTTATTTGTCATTAGATGGCACTTTTTTGTATTTGACTATTATGTTGGCAGTTTATTTTGCAACCAAGACTACAAGTAACTATTTTGTTTCACTGCTCCCTTCGTTATGGTATTTTTAAGTTTTGTTTTAAAATGATCAAATATTATAAGAAATTATGTGATGATTATGGAGTTTAGGAAATTTGTTAAGTTGGTAAATCATGTTTGTGTTGTTTGTGTGATATGTGTATGAATGAAGGCACAGTTCTACAATAAAAGCATACAAGTACTTTTGTTTTTAGGGTAAAAAGACTCGAGTATGTTGCTATATCTTGCATGTAACCTTTTTAATTTTGGGATAAATGCAAGATATAGAAACATACTTTCACTTATTTTCTCAATATATGGTTACAACCAACATTATTAGTAAAACGAACAAGAAAATGTCACATTAACAGGTCCAGATTCATACATGTTTCATTTTTAAGTTACAAATTTATGATATTCAACTCTGATGTGTGTATGCATATAATTTGATGCGGGTCTATGTGTATGTGTATAATCTTATGCAAGTCTCCAGGTATTATCTGCTGCCCCTGCACTCTTTCTCTAACTTGGATAAGACGACAATCACTAGAGCCCATGCTATTTGGGAAAAAACTCTTCAATAAATGATATTATTTAATGTAATTTTAAGTATTTCTTAGTTGACTTAGTCTAAAAGACATACTCCCTCGGTCCCAAAATTATTGTTCTCGGACAAAAAACACACAGATTAAGGAAACATTAATTACCACTAATTTTATATAATAAAAGGACAGTTTTGTCCTTACTTTGCATTTAATGTTCCATTAAATGTATAGTTGGTTAAGTAATAATTAGGGGGTATTTTGGTAAAAATGTTATTTATTTTTAGAAGTGGACTATTATTTTGGGACAAACCAAAAAGGAAAGATGGACTATAATTTTGGGACGGAGGGAGTATATGTATTTAGAAATTGAATCTCATATGTGTTTGTAAAATTTACAAAGCGATAAACAAATTGTTGCACTTATGGTTAATTTCTGGAACATGAAAATCATTTTTGTTTGTTACATGTTATAGTCTTTGATTGTAATTTTTTAATTAGTATGGTGGCTTTTTTTTAGTGTCGATGTGAGTGTTAAGAAAGTATCAATTTTAGAGATTTTTTCCTCAATTAACTTTAAAAAAAAATTAACATATTAGTTTAAGTTTATCAACATATTATGACTTTTATGTTGGAGTGTTAAGAAAATGTCACTGAACTTTAAATTGATTTTTTCAATGTTATCAGTTAATTCAATTATTTTATGTCGGATTTTGAATTTATTTTTTATATAAATTTTCAAATATAACATCAAAAGTTTTAAATTTTTTAAATTTCAAATATTACATCAAAATATTAAAACTTCAAATATTAACTTTTTTAGTATATATAAATATTTGCACAAATTTTTAATAAATTACTTATATCCAAAATAAGTACGTAACAATAAAAAACCGTCATTTATTAATTTTGTTTGAAGATAAACAATATTTATTTAAAAAAAATCTAATACAATTAAGGATCTCCATGTAGGTGTCGATGAATCGTTATGACAAAAAAAGCAACATAAGTCATAATTATACTGAAAAAACGAAAATTTAATTGTGTTTTTATCAATATTGTATATTTATATAAAAACAACAAAAAAACATTTATTTTTAATTCAGAACAACACTTTCTTTTTTAACAAAAAAACAATTACATACTTCTATTTTTAATTAACTAAAAAGTGACATATCTGAATCACAAATAAACATTGAACGGAAACGATTAGTTGAAAATTAATTTATGTTCATTGAAATATAACATATTTCCGAATTGAAATACTTGCCGATACAAATTATTCGTCATTCGCCGCTTTGCGCGGGTAAACGACTAATGTATATATATATATATATATATATATATATATATATATATATATATATATATATATATATATATATATATATATATATATATATATATATATATATATATAATCTTTGCTTTTGTTTTCCTCAAATAAGATTGTGTCCCAAACATAGTTTTATATGTTGCTTTGAAGTATAACATAGAAACAATGTGTGGTTAAATTGAATTAAAATATCCACATGAAAACGAATATTTCAACATTTTCAATTGGCGGCATTAGGCCTAAGATGAATTTCTATTGCATAAATAAAACTTTATGAACTTACCCGTGACTCCTCAATATTTTCAATATTCCTTTGCCATCTTTTCAAACTTATGATGTCACACGCACATTCAATAGTATTTTTAAGTATTTGCTACAAGTTATTTCGATAATAGAAGATGACTTTAGTACGTTACTAGTTATTTATTTTTGACAAAACATTTAAAACCATGGAGGTAAATTTTCATAAGAATGTCAAATCCCATTGGTCATTATTCGAATGGACATATTATGCAATTTTGGCAATGCCCAAGAATTACCAATTACCATATATGATTCGATTTATGGGTTTATTGTCATATAAAAATCGATTCTTTTGTATGAACAAAGAACCCATATTAGTTATGACACTGGCTCACTATGAACCAATGTTCCTGGAAACAAAAAGATGTTAAAAGAGATATTTATTAACATCTAAGTATAATTTGCAACAAGACTCCTCACTACTAAGAAATGCAATACGAGTCTTGATATTAAATACCCTTTATCAAGATTGAAAATCAAGACCAAAGCCAAAAGCTTTGATCAACAATAGGGTATCCAAGACCACTCTCACTCATCTCAAAATAAGACTCATATTCAGATTTCTGAAACCGAAGAACATTTCCACTCACGTTATCATCTTCATCTTGTGAAAAATCAGATTGGTTTTCCAACAAATGACTTGAATCTTGATGTGGGCTATTGGAATCAACAATATCACTCTTGGCTGAAACCGAATTCGCATCTTCGTTTTTGCATATCACCACATTGGTCCCGTTTTGAGTTACAATCGGAAACTGATTTGGTTTCCCACCTTTTGATTCCATTTCCATTGCGGGAATCCCGCATTCCAATGCTTCTTGTTTTGCTTTCCCCCTTTCGACTAACTTTTCTTTCAGAAATTGAACCTGTTTTTTTTTGGCCAAAATACACAAAAATCCATTATATAAAAACAGTGTTCTGAAATTTAGCGAAAAAAGGTTTTCGACAAAACAAAGAAAAAGAAAAAACAGGGGAAGTAATCAAGTACCTCGATTTTTAACTTATTATTGTCTTTTTGTAAGCAATCGAAATCCAATTTGAGCTTATCGTAGTCTGATTTCAAGAAATCGTAGTCTTTTTCAAGCTGTTTCGTCTTGTACCTTGCTCGGCGATTTTGAAACCAGATCGCCACCTGTCTAGGCTGCAAATTCAGCTCTTTTGCTAGCTGAATTTTTCTTTCGGGTTCAAGCTTATTCTCGACCTCGAAACTTTTCTCGAGAAACTTCACTTGCTCCGCCATGAGCCGCCGTTTCTTCTCCGGTTGACCGTAGTAGTTTTCGTCTTGGGTTTCGCCGCCGATTACCGGAGCCATTGTGGTTGCTGTGTTGGTTTCTCCTGAAGGGATTTTAGAAGGCAGACTACATTAGTGGCGAAATATAAAAAGGGTCTATTTAAAAATCATGTAAAATTAATTAATTTATAATTTTTATATTAAAATATTTAAATCTGATTCACAGGCAAGCTAAACAACTTATACATGACATGGCAATGGCAACAATCAACAATGATCAACCCACATAACAAGAAGAAAACTTTTGTATACCCGTGAAATTTTTTTGTTAAAGTATGAAAGGACTCATCTTTCAAGAATTAAGTACAAAAAGGTTCAAATCAAGAAAAAGAAGTATTTTGAAGGTCAAGTTAGAAACTTTATTTCAAGAAATGAAATGGGAATTGCATCAAATTGATTAAAACAAGCAAATTTAGAAGAAAATTAGAGAATTAATTATTACCATGAAAAGAGGTGGAAGAGGAGGTGGAAATCCATAGAGAATCAAGAACTTGAGAAGAAGGATTCAAGAAAGAGGTGATGTTGTTAGAATCTTCAAACACCATTTCATCTTCCATAGCTTATGAACAAGAATTGGGTTAAATCTTTCACTTGTGTTTCTTGATGTGTAGAAGAAGAGGGTGGGGTGGAATTCAGTCGTTGAACAAGTGCTTGTGTCTAAAGAAGGTGGTGATGAGATTTTTAAGAGTCATGAAAAGGTTTTTTTAGTAAAGAGAGCCCACACTTACAAATCCCAATTCAATGGCAGGAAGAGAGAGGGGAAAACCATGCAAAGTTTTGATTGATGGAGAGAGAGTAGAAAAGAATCTTCTCTGAAAAGAAGCGCTTGATGGGGCTTATAAGCACAATCTTGGGCGTAGGGAGGGTGGGGGGGGGGAGGGGTGGGGTGGGGTGGGTAAGGGGTAGGGAAGAGCTTTTCTTCTTGGCATAATACTCTTTCACTTTTACCATTTTACCCCTCTTCTTTATTTTTTTATTCTTTTAGTCATCGTATGTTTGATAATCTCTCAAAAAGTCTGATTTTTTCATAACTTTAACCGAATGATAACATTCTAAACCCACGAAGCTTCATGTAACTAATGAATCCGTATTAGGTGTTTAGTGTTTATTCGGATTGGGAAATGATTAGCTACTCATATAAGAGGAACAAGACTAACACCTAACAACTGAAAGACCCCTCTCATTGTTGGACTTAAACATTGATACATTGTTTGTCCAAACCCCAAGATGCCAACGCTATAATTAGATAAATTTTTTGGGGTTATTGTAACATATTTGATTAAAATGAACTTCATTTTTATTGTGTTCTCAACAAATTTAGAAATATCAAAACAGAAAAGGAAAAGAAAAATCCATGTCTTTGAGTTTTTTTTAGGAAAAAACGAAAGGAAATGAGAGAAATGTAAGAAATATTATTTTTGTTCCTTTCTTTTAAATCTTTTATTTGGATTCTTGAGAGAGGGGTATATAAAATTTACATAATGTTGAAAATATCCCTCTTATTTTACCTTCTTTACTATTTGTAAATGTTTAAGTTAAAAGATAAAAGGGTAAAATCATTAATTATTTTCTCATATTCTTTCCCAACTTAGACATACAATAAAGAATTTTAACTTTTCTTTTATTTCCATTTCCTTGTTTAATCATATTTTTCTCTTAAAAAATATATAGAATATAGTTTTAAAGATATTTACTAAGTTCACATAAGAAGTAAACCAAATAATGAAATATGAGAATATCGTTTAAATTACATACAATTTTCTTTGAACGCCACTTGATCTTTAGTCTTTACAATATTAAACAAATGCATTAACATCAAACGATTTTCTTTTGTTTATGGACAAGAAACATATTAAGATTATTAAAACTGTCATTTTCTAACTAAATATCTAAAATTATTCGAATTATAAAATTAAAATATCATTTTAATTGTAAAGAGTAATTACTATTGGCATAGCAAGACACGTAGAACTATGATCTCTTCTCTTTTTCATTAAACCAAATCTTTGAAATAATATTTAAAAGTTAAAGAGCATTTGAATTATGGTAAAGAAAAATAAAAAGAAATTTATGGGAGAATTTTGTATTTTTTCTAAGGAAAAGGAATGGGTAGAAAGGTAAAATGGGAGGAAAAAGGAGAGATTGAAAAGGAAGAAAACAAAGCATGAGGTCAAATCAGTCTTTTTCAAAAAGTATGATGACTCATCACTCCTCCCACGTAACCCCTTGGATTCTTCATCTATACACATCAGTTTTTGTCTATTTTAAGCCATTTTACCGGCCGAGCCGCCGCGTTTTTCACGACACCGGCTTACACTTTAATTCGACTAGCCGCCGCTTCATTCGGCTTTCAAGCCGTTTCGTGTGTAGTAGTTAAATAAATTGTATTTTATCTGGTTAAAGCAATTAATTTTTTTTAATCAACGTATAGGTCAGTAAAAGTTAAACACTTATAAATAAATATTGCAAGATGAAAAAAAAAATTGTGGATATAGATCAATTCTATTATTTATAGATATAAACAAAATTTAGTTAAGTAATGTAACAAAAAAAATACTAATTGCAAAAAACAGATACAAAAAGATCAAGAACATGATTAGTCTGACCATAAAGTATAATACGGAAGCAATTTAGGATATAGAAAATAATGTGAATAATCCTCGTTCCAAAAATCTGATTTTTACTTTTTTGCACCTTTTTGCGAAACAATACCATTCTTATACAAAATGACATTATCGTTTCATTAAAAACGCATTTTGTATTGAAATACTTTTATAAATTTATATTTTATGAAATTAATGGTTATATTGTATTTTTTTTATTATCAAATATTCATTATGTAAGCTCATCACTCTCATCGTGGGTATTTTGTGATGCCTACAATTTAAAAAAGAATATAAAGATAGAATATCATAGTTTCCGTTTTTTAAATCACTTATCAATAAAGAAGAATTCAATGACAAAAAAGTTGTTAACACTTTTAGACTATGATCTAGATATATAGCATCTAATTAGCCACACCTATCAAACAAGGCAACTACGATATTTGCTAGACCCTAGATTAAAAAAAACAATTCAATTCCTCGTTAACTAAGGCTAACCGGAGTGGGAAGGAAAAGGACGCGTGAGAGCTAAGGTGGACAGCCAAGTCACGCGTGAACACCACCCTGGTGTCCGATGACTTGGCTGTGGAGTGATCATGAAGACGGACGAAGACATCCAATGGTAAGGAAGTAGGCTTTCAACGGTCCAATGGGAATGAAGTTGATCATTTTCTTTTAATCCATTCAAAACCAAAAACAAAAAAAAAATTAATTTTCAAAGGGCTAATGGTAACCATTTACAAAATCTAGTGATTTGGTAGTGAGTTTGTAATGGAGTTGACGTGACGTTAAGCTGACAACATTTTTTGAATGGGTTGAGTGTGACCACTCCCTATAGCCTAAAGAGATCATGTCAATTAAATAGGTTGATGATCTTAATCCAATCCAATTTGTTAATTTAAATGAGTTTGAAATTTCAAATTCAACCCAACCTTAGATAAATGAGTTACTATCGCGTTGACATGTTTATGTATTTCATACTCGACAATTTATGGTTGAGCAGCTAAAGAGTGATTCAAGAGCGGGATTTGAAGTGTGTGGTGTTATCGGTACCAAGATTAGAGATGATAATTAAGGTTGTGCGTTGTGAAACATAAATAATAATATTAAATAATAATTAAAATGTTAAATAATAGTATATAAATATATATTAAGTTTAAATGAGTTGACGGATTAAAAATGTATTGATAATTTTTATCCAATTTAATCTATTTAATTAAATATGTTAAAAGAATCGACCCGTTTAAATTAAATGAGTGAAAATATCAATCAAACCCACTAATTTTGGATTAGGTTCAAGTTAGGTTTACTGATTTGATCGCTTTTGTCAGATCTACTCTTAACTATAAACATTCAATTGATACATCAATTTATGATGTCTTAAAATCTTATACTTACATCTTTTTTTTAACAGTTTCAGAAAGACACATTAAAGATAGTGTTGGAGATGGCTCAAATATACATTATGCCATTACATATTTTATGAAATGTAGTTTCTAAAAATAATGAAACACATTAATTTGTTTTGCCAATTTTATTAAGATAAAGTCATTACAACTAGTCTGATCATCAACTATGATACACGATATAAGTTAACCATCAAAATCTTTAATTATCTAATCAAATTTAAATAACATTGTTATTTAGCATAAACCAATGTAAACCACATTGCTAAATGTTGTGTATACATAAAATAGTAATTTTTAAAAATATAATTAATCCAAATACGTTGTTACGTATATATTTAACTTAAAACTTAGCACAACGATTACAATTTTAAATAGGCAGTATTATTCCTTAGATAAAAAAATAGATTTCTTAAATTAATCTTATTTTTTTTATATAAAATACAAGTCGATAAATCATTAGAAATTACTAATAGATGAATTAAATTTTTAAGGATATGGTAAAGAAAAGGTCGATAGAAATGGCATCAATCCGATCTCCAAATAGGCAATTTTGCTTAGAGCCTTAGATGAAGAAGATGGAGTGTGAAAGTAACATTACTCAAAAGTTGGGTACTTATTCAGAGTTTTGCAGGAAGAGGGGTTGAGAGGTTACTTGTTGAAACTGCAAGTACCAAACTGCAACATTAATAAATTCTGTGAAAGCTCGTAAACCAATGCAAAATGTGTGCTTTTGCAGGGACTTTTTCTGCCTCGTGATTTGTGCAAAATCTTGTTCCACCAATGATCAGGTTCATTTAATAAGACAAAGGTCATTTTCGTAAATTCATTCTTTCGTGTTCAATTTTGTTGGGTATAGGAAGGGATCATTACAAAACCTCGTTTTTTTGATTTTAGGAATAAAGATTGGGTATACTTCAAAATTTGTTGCTTCAAATGAATATATCATTCTCATTTTTGTTTTTTTGTTGGATATAAAAGCATGTCAAAGTGGTCCTTATTGAAGGTAAGAGGTCTAATTATTTGAGTTCTTTTATTGTAATTATGTGATATTAATTTACTATTTTTAGTTATAATTAAATTTTGATCATGTTACATTTTATGTAATGGATTAGTATACATTGAACTTATTATGAGGTTGGTCCTCAAAGAGGAAACATGTATTAAACCGAATTTAGCGTACAAGTTGTATTTATTGTTAAAAGGTAACATAAAAGAAATAATGTTAAAAAAAATGTACTTTGAAATTTATTATGATATTTAGATACTATTAGAATTCATCTACAACTTAACATATAACTTAACATATGCTTATGTGACCCTAAGATCGCATAGACTATGATATATATTTTTAAATCCCCTAATCTAATAAATAAGTACTTTTATGCCATGTGTCATTCTCTTAGCTTCTCCCAATCGATTTTTCCCGCTCCTTTCATGTAACTGCATTTTCGAAATTGCCCCTGCTTCGTTTGACTTGTATCCTTCATCCTTATTCATTCCTAAAAATTAGGAAACAAATAAGGGATTGGATTGCAACGATTATTAATTTGGATTCCATTTCAAACTTTTCAATTTACAAAAATCTCTCTCTGTTAACAAAACCCTACGCCGATCACCTTCACGACCACCATCTCTCCTCCTTCATCCTTCTTTCAGTTATTTTTCTTATTTTACCAAGATCGGAACCAATTTCATGGAAATCCGCTATTTCCACCTCCTCAATCTGTTTGTGCAGGATTTCTCATATTTACTTGAACTTTCATTGTCCAAGTATTCATTCTTTATCTTTT